CAACGGGACTTGAATGGTGATTAGGGTTTAGGGTTTAGGGTTTAGGGTTTAGGGTTTAGGGTTTGCCTTGTTGATCAGGAAACCATCGAAGAGCAGCAACAAGGGGGCTGGTGTATGCAACGCCGAGCCCAAAGCCGTAGACGAGTCCGTAAGAAAGAAGAAAAGCAAGAAAATTAATTTTTATTGTTACTGAAGAAGTGTAGACACCCAAAATAAATATAAGACCCCCTGTCAGAGACACCCTGAGGTGTACGTACACCGCACACACACACACAGAGAGACAGACAGATGCGTAGATATGCTGCTCCTGCTGTTGCTGCTGCTGTTGCTGCTGCTGTAGCAACAGCAGCAGCAGTATAACAGCAGAAGAAAATGCAATAGAAGCAACAGCAGAAACACCAGCTGCAGCAACGGGAACAGCAAAAACAGCAGCAGCAACAACAGCAGCAACGGCAACAGCACCAGCAACTGCAGCACTAGTAACAGCAGCAACAGCAGCAGCAAAGCAATAGCAACAGCAGCAACAACAGCAGCACCAGCACCAGCAACTGCAACAGCAGCAGCAGCAGCAACAACAACAACAACAGCAGCAGCACCTGCAACAGCAGCAGCAGCAGCACCAGCAGCAGCAGCAGCAGCAGCAGCACTGTGCGTACACCCTGGGTCCTAATTTTCTCTCTAAGGCCCCACCGAGAGGCATCCCTATAGCCATGCTGCTAAACCCTGCTGCTGTTATCTTAGCAGCAGCAGCTAAGCGCAGCGAGGAGTTGCTGCTGTCTCTTAGATAAGAAATAAAATAAACAGCAGAAACCCCGAGTGTATAGACAGTTCCCAAGGCTACGTGCAGCAATACACCCCCTAAAACGCACAAACAACCCTTTATTAGAGTGCTCCTGCTGCTCCTGCTGCTGCTGCTGCTGCTGCTGCTGCTAGCATATTTAAACCCTTCTCCGTCATGCACCCACGAAGGGGGACAGCGGCCCAGCGATAGCGCGGGGTCAGATGAAGGCATCTTCTTGCTGCTGCTGCTGCTGCTGCTGCTGTTGCTGCTGCTGCTGCTGCGGTTGCTGCTGCTGCTGCCGCTGCAGTCGGTGAGGCACTGAGAAGACAAGGCGGCTCGAGGTGTACAGACAGCTCAACCGATCAAGAGTTGTTATTGAGCTCCTGAGATATAAAGACCCTAAACCCTAAACCCTAAACCCTAGCAGCAGCTACACGGGACTGCCCAGTGGCGGTGTCTCGACGGTGGCCCCCCGCCGCGTGCACGCCAAACCCTAAACCCTAAACCCTAAACCCTAAACCCTAGAGAAATATTCCTTTCTTCTGTTGGTTGTCTTGCATACATGTATTAATATTGCTTTACTGCAGCAGCAGCAGGCGGTTGCTGCTGCTGCAGCAGCTGTTGCTGCTGCTGCTGCTGCTCTCCCTGTCTCGTCCGAGGGGCCCCCTGGGGCTGCAGCAGGGGCCCCTCTTCAGGCTGGCCTTCTGCATGCAATACCCCTGTTTTAGGGTTTAGGGTTTAGGGTTTAGGGTTTAGGGTTCAGGGTTCAGGGTTTAGGGTTTAAGACTCAAACCAGACGAAGAGAAGGCCCAAGGGGAGAACTGCCGTCCCCTCATGCAGCGCAGCAGCAGCAGCAGCAACAGCAGCAGCAGCAAAAACAGCAACAGCAGCACCAGCAGCAGCAACAACAGCAGCAGCAGCAATAATAGCAGCAGCAGCAGCAAGAAGGTGGATGGCGTATGCATATATTTTTCTACTGTAGATACCCCTCAGCTGCCGTCCCCTGTTGGATCTCGCCGCCTAGGGTTTAGGGTTTAGGGTTTAGGGTTTAGGGTTTAGGGTTTAGGGTTTTAAAAGATGAGGGTGACTCGGCGGAAGAACTTTAAAAAGATTATGCGCTTCTACGCCACACACTTTGGAATACGGGAGCCCTATCAACTCATCGGTAACAAACCCTAAACCCTAAACCCTAAACCCTAAACCCTAAACCCTAATTGATGTGAAGATCCCAATGTAATGACGCCTCATCTTCATTCCCTCTTGTTTCTCTCTTCCTGTTCCGTTCTCCTGCTTGTTTTAGCGGCACCTGCCCTAGGGTTTACAGTTTAGGGTTTAGGGCTTAGGGTTTAGGGTTTAGGGTTTAGGGTTTGTTGTTTATGCAGTGGACGGGACTTTCGTTGCTGCTTGCATTCGTCATAAAGTGCATGCAGCAGATTTGCTGCCGCGGGTTCTTTGCGGCAAAACCCGCATGCGTCAGTCCAAACCCTAAACCCTAAACCCTAAACCCTAAACCCTCGCGTCAAGCACCCTAACTAACCACAACTCTACTAGAGTAAACCCTAAACCTACACCTTAAATGCCGATAATGCTGTTGGGGAGGCAAAACAGCTAGGGGATAAGGGTTTACGGTCTGGGCTTTAGGGTTTAGGGTTTAGGGTTTAGGGTTTGTGGTTTCAGTGGTGACCCCTTGTATTATGAAAGAACTCCGCAGCCTCCCTG